CCGTTTGCTAAATCCCAAGGGGTCCCCTAGTCATAAAAAAACCGTTTGCTAAATCATAAGCGTATAATGACGACGCCCAAGTCACAGACAACTTTATGACCATTTCATTATTGGCGAGCCGCCGGGCTCCATTCTCTCCCTGTGTATGTATTTAGAGTTTTAGACCAACGATCAAATCATAAAAAAAATGAAGTAAATTGAAACAGCTTATCCAATCATTAAAAAAAAAATGATTAAGAAGAAGATTAGGGGATGATTCTTTCTACACATATTTGCTCAATTTGAGATCTAAAAGTCAAGAAGCCCGGTGTTGCCCAAGTGTTCACTTAACCCTTAGTTAAAGGGCATTTTATTTTGGGTGTATGATTCAATCTTCATCCTTTCTTGCATTTCTTCATTATGACTGTGGCTGCTGTTGCTTTTTCGGGCAGCTAGTGAATTGCACTCTTGATCAGGTTTAATACATTCCATTAATAATTTTAACCTTAATAACCTTTAACCATTACCTTTGTCAAAAAAATAAAAAATCTAAAAGTCAAAGAAAGTGTCACTGTTCATAGGCTCTGTAGAGAAGTTACAATTTTAGGGACAACTTACGTAGGAATCAGGCCAAATCTCAATAAGTTAGAAAGAAAAAAAAAAAGAACAAAAAAAATTTTTTTTTTTGAGCTTAAGTTCGAAATTGATTAAAATTGATGATATCGCTCAAATGTGTGAAATTTAGTATGCAAGTTTTAATATAGGATTTGTATTTATATTATCATTTTCTTCATAATTTTTAATATAAAATTTGCATTTAATTTAAAATTAATTAATTATATAATAAATAATATTTTTTATATTTAACTCATCGTATCTTCTTAATTAATATTTCCCCAACATGAATCGAACTTAAAAATTAAACAAGTGCTTTGCAGTTAGCTAGCTAGCTAGTCAGCACTGTTTCTGCCCAAACGATTAACTCCGTGTAGAACATTTAATTTTACTATACTTTTCTTTTGGATGATTATTTTCCTCAACTTGTATAAAGCTTAATATCAACATTAAAATTATCAATTTTTACATTTTTTAATATATATTTATAATAAAAAGATACCTTTAACTTATGTCCCAAGATATAAATTAAAAAAATCCAAATATAAAAATTAACATTTAATTTATCAGTCGTCTTATTAAATTTATCTACAGTTAAATTTTTTATATAAATTTATGATCAGAAGGTGAATTTATTCCATAATTAACTTATATTGTAAGAAGACAAATTCGAAAACCCCTTTCCTTTTTAGTAATTTCCTTTTATTTTGTGAAGTTTCTATTATTTTTCTAATTTGAGTGCTTCTTAAGTTTTCCTTTTTATAATGAACTATCTTTTCGAACTTAATGGTCTATCCCCAAGTTTTAATATCTGGATTTAATTGATTAAGAATTAAATTCTCACCGATAACTTAAAAATATATCTTCCTTCGCCAATAATTCTCATGTAAAAAAAAAAAAAAAGAGACACTTTATCCTTTTTTAATGAGCTTCTCAAGTCTAATTTCAGATTATTTATAGATTAAGAAAAAAAAAAAAAGGGGGAATACCTTTTTGTTTTTCGATGGGACAAAGTTTTCAGATTACTGAAAACAACCTTCATTTACTTGCACTATATTCACATTTCAAACCGAGTAAACATCAATTGTGAAGGTCAACAAAGAAAGAAGATGTGGGCATCGTAAAAACATAAAGATCAAGAACGTGATTTGAGCATCTAATGTGGGATCCCATGCAATAATTATAATTTAGTCAACGACGACGTCTATCCTTGTTTACGTTAGTGGCCTAAGACTGATCTTTCCGCGGCAATGGAACACATGTGAATATCATGTTGAGGTAAACACTACTGGAAAAAGTAGTATATTCGACAGAGGATTCTGTCGAATATGAATGCTTTTTTGTCGATTAAACTATAATCGACAGACATATTCGATAACTTTTTTTGTCGAATATACTGCAGTCGATAATCAGTATATTCAACAGCCAATTTTTCTGTCGATTAAACAAGTGTAATCGACAGAATTTTACTGTTGAATATACTGATTATCGACAGAATTTCTCAGCCAGATTTATAATTTTGTCAAGTTATATTTGACAGCC